GTGTGTGTGTGTGTGTGTATATATATATTTATATATATATAATGTGTATATATATATATATATATATGTATATATATATGTGTGTGTGTGTGTATGAATGTATATATATATATATATATATATAATATATACAATATATATACAGTCATGACCAAAAATATTGGTACCCTGCATTTATGTCAGATAATGCCCCACTTCGCCCAGAAAGTTGTTTCAATTACAAATGTTTAGGCATTCTCATGTTTATTTCTTTTGTTTGTATTAGTATGACACAAAAAAAGTAGAGAAACAAAAAAGCCAAATCTGACACATTCCATGCAAAACCCCAAAAATGGATTTGTCAGAATGATTGGCACCCTCAATTTAATATTCGTTAGCAAACACCTTAGAAAAAATAACTGAAATCAGTCGCTTCCTGTAACCATCAATGAGTTTCTTACACCTCTCTACTGGAATTTTGGACCACTCTTCTTTTGCCAACTGCTCCAGGTCTCTCAGATTGGAAGGGTTCCTTTTCCCAACTGCTGTTCTGAGATCTCTCCACAGGTGCTCTATGGGATTCAGATCTGGACTCATTGCTGGCCAGTTCAGTACTCTCCAGAGCTTTGTCGCAAACCATTTCTGAGTGCTTTTTGACATGTGCTTTGGGTCATTGTCCTGCTCATGACCTTTGACGGAGACCCAACTGTCTGACACTGGGCCCTACATTACACCTCAGAATTCTTTGGTAGTCTTCAGATTTCATAATGTTATGCACACAGTCAAGAGATCCAGTGCCTGAAGCAGCAAAGCTACCCCAAAACATCAGTGATTTTCACTATGTTTGAATGTAGGGACTGTATTCTTTTCTTTAAAGGCCTCATTTCTTTTTCTGAAAACAGTAGAATGATGGGCCTTACAAAAAAGCTGTAATTTTGTTTCATCTGTCACACAGTAAGTAAGTATAACACTTAAATATATCACTTTAATGCATTTTCTGGTTCTTGGCCACAGTCATGCCTGACACAGATCAGCCCCTGTTGCAGGCTCTCAACTTGGTACAAAAGTTACAATGTTACAGTCTGATCTCTTGGGGAAAAGAGACTGAGGAAATAGCCTATGGCACACTTGGGCAGAGGAAATACTTACTCACCAGGTAATGAAAAGGCTGCAGGAAGTTACTCATCTGTGACAAAGTTTCTCCTTGCTCATCTACCCAATGAGGGAGTGATAACATGGAAGCAAGTGAGTATATTGCAGTACATAAAACTGTGGTGACCACCCCGACCTATAACTGGCCTATGCAGTAAGGTGTACACAGAAGGGCAATGTGCTTCACAAACAACCAAAAGATTTCCCAGCACACTTACCAGCCAGTAAAAGCTGCAGTGCCCTAATATATCCATTCTTTTATGTACAATGGAGGCTATAGGAATTTAGAGTTAGTGCCACAGTATATACAGAGGTCTCTTGACATGTGCACTGCAGCTTATGCATATATTTGCAATTGTGTGCAAACAAAACTGTCTATTTTTAATGTAAATGGTTAGACAGGGCCAATCCGGTTGTTTTGCAGGCTGACTAGTAGGTGTGCTGAAAAATCCTTTGTGATGTGCAATGCCCTTCCATGTGCACCTTACTGCAAAGGTCAGTTACAGGTTGGGGTGGTTGCCACTTTTTTGTACAGTTGGTTGAATCGGGTGCAGGGACGCACTGGATGCCTTTTCTGCCATTGTGGGTGTCACGTGTATCCCTGTGCCTTTGAGGAGGGGTGGACTCCCTCCAGGTATACCTGCCCTTAATCTATCCATTCTTATATGTGCTCCTACTATTGATGCTCTGGAAATTTAGAGTTAGGACCGCAGTATATACAGAGGTCCCTTGGTGTGGGCACTGCGGGTTACATATATAATTGCAAATGTGTACAAACAAAACCCTCTGAGTTTAACGGAAATTTTTAGACAGGGCAATTCAGTTGTTTTGCAGACTGGCTGGTAAGTGTGCTGGGAAATCCTTTGTTTGTGATGAGTATATCTCTACCCTGTAATGTGACCCTGCCATTGGTGATGTGTTGTCAGCAGCATCAGAACTGCAAGTCTGACATGGGCCTTACATAAATAAGCAATTCCTATGTTCATGGTATTATGATATTATACATACAATATGTTTGTGCCGTCTATTGAACACCCCCCAGTAGTCTGAGAGGGTCTCAGGCACTTGACTACAATTTGGTTGCTCTTTCATTGCAAGGAAAGGAGGGAGGGGGTACAAGTGATAATTGACTGCATATAGCGATTTCATAAGCTGCTCATTTAAAACAATCTCCGGCTTTTTCGTTAGACCGCAGTTCATCTTTAACTATGAGTCATCATTATAGCACAGAAAAAAACTTAATGAGGAAAAATGAGAGAGAATTGAAAGTGAGCTACAATAGAAAATGCATCAAAGGAGAGGAAGACTTGTAGTTAAAAGTAACTTCCTGAAACAAGAAAAAAAAGGAGATAAAGAAGAACGATGGTGACGCTACAAGGGCGAATGGTGAGTCAGTGCCCAGTACAATATACCCAATATATTACCCAGGTAATCTGTTGATGTTAAAGATGAACTCCAGGCAAAAGTCTAAATACATGACTTACAGTACATAGAAGAAAGCTGTTTTACCTGCCAAAGGATTTGTATTCCTGTTCATCCAGTACTGAGGTTTACACAGCTTTGCCACACAGCACAGTCCTCAGAGAAGGAGACCTACTCTTTCTCTGCTGCAGTTTTGCTTTCACCTACAAGTCTCTTCCCTACTCTATGGCTGTGACTGGACTGTAGAAGAAGAAGCAGTGTACTTTGACAGGCTCCTTGTGCTGCTTTTCCCTCTCTCTGAGCTCTGCTGTATAGGAGACTGCAAGAGTCTGATAAAGGTCAGATACATGTATTTACAGTGCTTGCTTTAGAAATTTTATATATATATATATATATATATATATAAACATATATATATAATTTTTTCTTATATAGTGTATACAGTGAGGAACAGAAGTATTTGAACACCCTGCGATTTTGCAAGTTCTCCCACTTAGAAATCATGGAGGGGTCTGAAATTCACATTGTAGGTGCATTCCCACTCTGAGAGACAGAATTAAAAAAAAAGTCAGGAAATCACATTGTATGAATTTTAAATAATTTATTTGTCTTGCACTGCTGAACATAAGTATTTGAACACTTGAGAAAATCAGTGTTAATATTTGGTACAGAAGCCTTTGTTTGCAATTACAGAGGTCAAACATTTCCTGTAGTTCTTGACCAGGTTTGCACACACTGCAACAGGGATTTTGGCCCACTCCTCCACACAGATCTCCTCTAGATCTGTCAGGTTATGGGGCTGTCGCTGAGCAACACAGAGTTTCAGCTCCCTCCAAAGATGTTCTATTGGATTTAGGTCTGGAGACTGGCTAGGCCACTCCAGAGCCTTGATATGCTTCTTATGGAGCCACTCCTTGGTTATCCTGGCTGTGTACTTCGGGTCGTTGTCATGTTGGAAGACCCAGCCACAACCCATCTTCAATGCTCTGACTAAGGGAAGGAGGTTGTTGCTCAAAATCTCACAATAAATGGCCGCATTCATCCTCTCCTTAATACAATGCAGTCATCCTGTCCCCTTCGCAGAAAAGCACCCCCAAAGCATGATGTTACCACCCCCATGCTTCACAGTAGAGATGGTGTTCTTGGGATGCAACTCATCCTTCTTTTACCTCCAAACACGACGAGTGAAGTTTAGACCAAAAAGTTCTACTTTGGTCTCATCTGACCACATGACTTTTTCTCCCATGCCTCTTCTGGATCATCCAGATGGTCATTGGCAAACTTAGGACGGGCCTGGACATGTGATGACTTGAGCAGGGGAACCTTCCATGCAATGCATGATTTGAAACCATGACTGCGTAGTATTCTACCGACAGTGACCTTTGAAACTGTGGTCCCAGCTCTCTTCATGTCATTGACCAGCTCCTCCCTTGTAGTTCTGGGCTGATTCCTCACCTTTCTTATCAACAGTGATACCCCACGAGGCGAGATCTTGCATGGAGCCCCAGTCCGAGGGAGACTGACAGTCGTCTTTAGCCTCTTCCATTTTCTAACAATTGCTCCAACAGTTGATCTATTTTCACCAAGCTGCTTGGTAATTGCCCCGTAGCCCTTTCCAGCCTTGTGGAGGTCCAGAATTTTGTCTCTGGTGTCTTTTGACAGCTCTTTGGTCTTGCCCATGGTAGTAGTTGGCGTCTGACTGACTGTGGGGTGGACAGGTGTCTTTAAAGAGCTCAGACGGTGCTACTAAGTTAGATTAATGAGTGGAGTAGAGGTGGACTTTTTAAAGGCACAGTAACAGGTTTTTGAGAGCCAGAATTCTTGCTGTTTCTTAGGTGTTCAAATACTTATGTTCAGCAGTGCAAGACAAATAAATTCTTTAAAAATCATACAATGTGATTTCCTGAATTTGTTTTTAAATTCTGTCTCTCAGAGTGGGAATGTACCTACAATGTGAATTTCAGACCCCTCCATGATTTCTAAGTGGGAGAACTTGCAAAATCGCATGGTGTTCAAATGCTTCTGTTCCTCACTGTATAATGCATGTAGTATTGCTTTCTGAGCATTGATTTTTTTTTATCTGCCCAGGTTTGGCTTTAAACTGTGACTTTGATAGAAATTGCTTCCCATATAGTTCCTTTCTTGTTGTGTTTGAGTTTCTCGTGGCCTACTCTGCGCGGTAGGGATGCTAATAATCTTAAAAAATGACTTGAAAGAGCAGTAGCTGGAGTCCCGTCAGTTCTTCTTTGATGTGGCTAGAAGGACCAGGTGGGGAGTTGTGGCTGAAGTCCTTTGCATGTTTGCATTATAAGTAGGACTGGAGAATCTCTGAGATGGACGATGGATTAAATGATCATTTCAGTACATTTTTTTTAAGAGCGCAAAACCCAATGGCAACAGATTTGAAGGAGTTTTTGGTACCAGTAAAAGATACAGCCTTAAAGCCGAACTCCAAGTAGATGTAAAAGACACAGGTTAATGCAGCTTTGTATTCACACTTTTCTGTTATTAAAGTGTATCTAAACTCTAAAATGTAAATGAAATATGTTGCAGACAGGGGCGGACTGACCATTTGGAAACTCGGGCACTGCCCGAGGGCCCGGGGTCAATAGGGGGCCCCATGAGATGCCCCTGGTACCTTTTTCATAGGCTTTTTGAGTTTGGGCAAGGACACAGGGGCCCCATGATCCCCTATTGCCCGGGGGCCCCATGAGTTGTCAATCCGCCCCTGTTTGCAGCTTTTGAGTCTGGAAATGTGGTGGTTGCATTCATTTTTAAGCTTTATTCCCTGTTATCACCTGGTGATTCAGCCGGTAACATGCTTCATGTCAAAGGTGACAACACTTACTCACCATACTGAGTCTATGAAGAAGCAGAATTGTCACCCTAGACCAGCAGTGGTGAACCTATGGCACGCATGGGCAAGCAGAGCCTTCTCTGTCGGCACGCGAGCCAAGTCACCCCAGCATCGCCCCAGCAGCCGGACATCAGATAACAGTGCACATAGGGGCCATGCGCATGCTTGGAAAGGAGTAGTAGCGCCAGGCGATGACGTTACAAGCCGTGACTCATAAGCCGCGACTCGTCTGAGCTTTCGCTTGGCCGATCAGTGCGCTGCCAAGGATATATATATTGGACTGGCTGTGAGTTTTAATACATTCGTTTTTATTAACACAAGATTTTAGCTAGTGCTGGTGGTCAGTGGAACTTTGCCCCCTTGTGCTGGTGGTCAGTGGAACTTTGCCCCCTTGTGCTGGTGGTCAGTGGAACTTTGCCCCTTTGTGCTGGTGGTCCGTGGAACTTTTCCCCCTTGTGCTGGTGGTCAGTGGAACTTTTCCCCTTTGTGCTGGTGGTCCGTGGAACTTTGCCCCCTTGTGCTGGTGGTCAGTGGAACTTTGCCCCCTTGTGCTGGTGGTCAGTGGAACTTTGCCCCCTTGTGCTGGTGGTCAGTGGAACTTTGCCCCCTTGTGCTGGTGGTCAGTGGAACTTTGCCCCTTTTGTGCTGGTGGTCAGTGCAACTTTGCCCCCTCGTGCTGGTGGTCAGTGGAACTTTGTCCCCTTGTGCTGGTGGTCAGTGGAAGCTCTGTTATTGTGTTTTTCATTTAAGATGAAAGATGTTAATGTATGGGCTGTTTTTTTCTAAAATAAAACCTCAGTATTCAGGTTTAATTGCAGTGTTGGCACTTTGCGATAAATAAGTGGGTTTTGTGTTGCAGTTTGGGCACTCGGTCTCTAAAAGATTTGCCATCACTGCCCTAGGCTTCTCTCCTGTGTTGAACTATAAACACCTCCCCCTCTGTTCATCTTAATTAAAAAGGGAAGAGGCTTTGTGTAGTTAAAGTGGTAGTAACTTGAAAAAAAAAGCAAAAGAAAACCATTTCCCTGGCAAGGTAATGTCATAATGTGCTAGTATGCATAACATGCATATGCAGAGTATACTAGCACATTATGTGAAACGTACCTTAAAATGAAGCCCTCCAGTGACGCACTGTCACCGCTGACAGGGCTTCCATCTTCACCCGGTCTTCCTTCTACGTTCACTGGCTCTGGTTCTTTGAATGTCAGAGTCGCAATAATGGCATGCACGCGGGAGTCACTATCTAAAGCACAGAGCCCTGAAGGAATGGCACGGGTATGCTGTTCCTTCAGAGCTCAAGTGCTGGCTGCTACACAAGTAAATATCTTCTAAATGGTGCACATTTAGGAGATATGTACAATACCTACAGCTAAGCCTTATTATAGGATTACCTGTAGGTAAAACATTAAAAATGGTCTTTACTACCACTTTAACAGAAGATTGTTTGGAAAGCTGACAACATTGTTGATTTCACTTCACTACACAGGCAGTTACAAGGACACTAGATGCGCTTGCGGAACCTGAAAAAGAGAAAACTAATGCAGGCATTACAGTGTATTACAGTTACAATGTATTAAATTTTGTTTTTTTAGGGGGGTTTAGTAATGCTTAAAGCGGAGGTCCAGTCAAAATAACAAAAAAAAAATGTCACCAACTACAGAAACTTTAGCTGCTGACTTTTAAAAAACAGACACTCACCTGTCCCTCGATCCTGCGGTGTCCTCCCCGCAGCAGCCCGTTTCACCGGCCGTCCTGTGTCCCCGGCACCGGAATCTTTAGTGTGGGCACCCAGCTGTGACAGCAAGCAGGGGTGGACTGACAACTCATGGGGCAATAGGGGATCATGGGGCCCCTGTGTCCTTGCCCAAATGCAAAAAAGCCTATGAAAAAGGTACCAGGGGCATCTCATGGGGCCCCCTACTGACCCTGGGCCCTCTAGCAGTGCCCAAGTTTCCAAATGGTTAGTCCGCCCCTGTGCACATGTAGTGCTGCACTTTGTGAATGGTTCTGTAGTCTTCTGAGACCTGTCACGTGTTCCAGAAGACTACATGGAGGGGGGGAGGACAACTTCTGTTTCCGATTGCCTTAGGCTCTCAAATTCAGGTGCCCCCTCCCCCCTGCTCCTGAAGGGTGCCAATCCTTAATGGGGAGCGGGGGGACAAAGCCTTACAGCAGGACCAGGGGTGGACTGACCATTCGAGCACTCGGGCACTGTCCGAGGGCTTGGGGTAAGTAGGGGGCCCCATGAAATGCTCCTGGTACCTTTTTTATAGGTTTTTTTAGGTGGCCCGGAGGCCCCATGAATTGTCAGTCCACCCCTGAGCAGGACTTACCTTTTTGGGCCCGATTCCGTTGCATTTCTTAAACACAAGCAGTGCACTTGCTTAAATCTGACCTGGTATCAGCCTGTTGCAACCCTGAGTATCAGAGCTCAGACTGGGAGAGGGAGAAGCAGCACAAGAAGCCAATCAGTTGTGTTGCAGTGAAGGGAACAGGTTGATAGGAGGGGAGAGCACAGTCTCAAAGAGATGAGCTAATCACTGAGCTCTTTCTCCTTCATCGTTCAATGGCAGGTGGGAGAGGGACAGCTTGCAAGTCCTTAGATGTGGTGGCTGCACTGAAGGTAGCACCTACATTTTATGTGCTTTTAGCTTCTTGTGATCCCTGTGCTATAGAGCTCATACTGGGAGAGGGAGATGCAGCACAAGGAGCCTAGCAGTATTGCAGTGCCCATGCACTAGCAAGAAACATGCTGATGGGAGGGAGAGCAGAGTGTCAGGAAGATGAGCTCATCAGTCTGCTTCTTCTCCTTTCATTGTCCAGTCATAGGGTGGAGAGGGGTTGTGGATAATATAACTGCAGTGGAGAAAATTTGGGTCTTCTCCCCTGTCGGGATAGGACTGTGCTTTGTGGCAGAGCTGTGTAAATCTCAGGCTGGATGGGCACAAATGCTAATCCTTTGGCAGGTAATCAGCTCCCTTATATGTATTTTATGTGTGTATTTGGCTGTTTGATCAGCTTTACTTCTGAACAACCACACTTACTGCTATGGGGCATGTTTTGTGGTTCCTGTACGTTTTAAGAACTGGTATGTGAAGAGGAGTTTTGCCTGTAAGACTCTTCCATGATTAATTGCTCAATTTAAAAATGATGGAAGTTAATTATTATTTTAATGCTATGGAGTAGAAGGAGGTACACAGCGAATATTATTACTGTTCTGCCAATGCTGAGTGACTTGTTCTGTAATTGGGTTTAGCTCAGCATTTTAAAGTAAGAATGTAAATTGCACATTGCCTATTGTGAGTACAATACTTACTTTTTATCCTTCCAATAACATTTTTTTACAATATTGCACTAGGCCGGTGCGCCCTCTGTTTGTTTTTCTTTGCATTCTGTAAACTGCACATGCCTGGCATACCGACAGCCACTAGAAGAAGAATCTGTCAATCTCTATATGAAATATGGCACAGCAAGAGAGCAAAGAGGTGAACATTGTATGAAAAATTACTTTTATGTAAGCTTTATAACAATACCAAAAATCAATACTCTCTGAAAATCCTCCTTAGAATATGTTACTTTGGGCTGATGTGTAAAGCTTTATTTAATAATAAATAAAACATATGAAATGCAACGTAAATTGGAGAGGAAGGACGATTTATTTTTAGAAGTCATGAGAGCAAAGTAAAATTATTAAGTTGATTTTGCAAAACAAATGCCACCATTGTCTCGAAATGTCACTCTTGTTGCCAAAAGATACCTGCAAATATTAATTGGAGCCCTAGTGTGTCTGTGAAGAAAAAAAAATTGCATCCAAAATGTCAAAACAAAATCTTGCGTTTAACACGGTACATTAGGTACATGATGAGATTGGAAGCAGTCACCCGTATTAGTTGTTCTTCTTCATCGAGGATAAAATACTGGAGAAGTGTAATTAATAATGTTTTTGTCCTACCATATTAACTCTTTGACTGACAGAGGACTTCAAGAAATATTTATATAACCATTTAAGCACAGGAATGATGACTGATTGCTCTGTTGGTGTCGGGGGCATCTCTATTGTGAAGTCACTGCCCTACTAAAGAAAACCTACATTTCTACATGTAGTGCTTTTCAGTTTAGGTAGGATTTTTGTCTGTTAGTCAGAGGTTTGCTAGAAGCCTGGGATGAGTCAGCCTGGAAGTGAGGTAGTGAGGTTACCTTAGTCAGGCTGGGAGGCTCTACATGTCAGGGCTTCTAGAGCCCTCCCACCTTTCTAGAAACCTCTGGCAATTTATAGAAGGACAGGGGAGGGGAGGAGGCCTGGATTTGCATGTTTAAGGGAACCTGGCCAATTCCCAGGCAGGAGGCCTTGCATGGTGGCTAGGACAGCCCTTATATATGGGAGAGCTTGCACAGTAGGGGAGTCAGATGGTGGATGCAGTGAAGGAAGGTGCTGATGTGTGGAGCCTGGGAGGGAGTCCCAGTGGGAAGAGGAGGGGGCTACCTACAGGCTACAATTGGACAGAAGGATCTCCACTGTCACACAGTCCACTAGAAATGACAGCCTGTCAGCAAGGAAAGAGCCAGCCCAGAATAAGGCCTGAAAGCAGCTGCAACCCATTGAGCTGCAGGAACAGGACAGTGTGAGTACGTCTACAACCCCTGGACCAACGAGAGGAGAGGTCAGTCAGGTGCAATACCCAACTAGTTCTCCCTGGGACTACTTCATTTTAGATCTCGGAATCCCTTGCTCAGGGACATCCTCAGGACAGCCGGTGGATGAGGAGATGCCCTATATATATAAATATACTTCCTAAGGATATCACTGACTGAATATAGAAAAACTATACTTCCTTAATATTTTGGTATCACTTACAAAGACTGTAAAGTACATGTAATATGTTAAAGTAATATGTTAAAAAGTGTGGACTCTCCCAAAAAACCTTTACAGACCCTTACCTAAGCATGCAGACTCACAAGTAAAATGTCCTTAACATAGGGAAAGTACTTTGCCAGGAGTGCTTCCTGTAGGGATCTGTAGGTGGATGATTTATTGGAATCTGGAAGTCCCCTTTAAAAGTAGGGGAACCCCATAGATAGTGGTTCAATCACTTCGTCCAACAATGCAGATCCATGTCACAATGAATGATGCTCGCCAACCCACCAAAATAAAAAAAAGTTGACCGTCACCTCGATCCACTCGTGATGATTGCTTGCTGCAAATGACAGTTCCTGGTGTTTGCTGAAATGTAAATGAGGGGTGGGTTCATCTTGGTGATGGCATTGACCAAACATGGACAGGACCGTATTTGGTCAATGATGTCCCCAGGATTCCTGTGTCCAAACTGGCAGCTCATTCCTAATGTTAGCCTTTCTGCTAGATTTCAGTAGGTGCAAATGTGCACTGGACACTGGCCATGGAAAAATGGGTGTTCGTTAGCATTTGCTATAATTTTCTTTCTGAAAGGAATATATCATTTTTTTTTTTTTTAGTCATACTTTCATTGTGTTTTTTTAAGTATAAGCAGTGTAAGTTCTGGAATGTGGCCTGGTATCAGCCTCTTGCAACCCTGTACAACAGAGCTCAGATTGATGAAGGGAGAAGCAGCACAAGGAGCCAATTAGTTGAGCTGCAGTATGAAAAGCTCATCAGTCTGCTGCTTCTTCTTTTATTGTCCTGTCACAGGCTGGGGAAGGGACAAAATCCTTTTATTTATTTTATTATTAATAAATGTCTTACAATATTTAGTGGTTTCCCTTTTTTACTTTTGAGACAATTGAAATAATGGTTTTCTTTCTGAATGCAATATGTCATATTATCGGATATACTATACATTGCATAAAACTGAGACATCTATTCTAGGATGTATCATATTTTTCTGTGTATGCAAATTTAGTAGACATAAGCTTGTGCTAAAATCCTAAAAAAATAATTTTCTTATTATAGTTGTTCTCATGTCAGGGGCGGACTGACCATTTGGAAACTCGGCACTGCCCGAGGGCCCGGGGTCAGTAGGGGGCCCCATGAGATGCCCCTGGTACCTTTTTCATAGGCTTTTTTGAGTTTGGGCAAGGACACAGGGGCCCCATGATCCCCTATTGCCCGGGGGCCCCATGAGTTGTCAGTCCGCCCCTGTCTCACGTGTTAAAATACATTTTTTATTACACATTAGAAGGAGTTTGTGTTCCTGGAGGGGCGTGTGGTCCACATTGCCAGGACAAGGGGTAACTGCAAAGAGGACACAGATAATCAACAATGCTGTGAAACAAAAAAAGATGAAAAAAATCAAACAACAATATTAAAAAATACACTTGTTTAAAGTGCTTTAGAAAACTAAATGGTAGCCTTTAGAAGATGCCTCGGGTCAACTGCAGGTGACGAAACACATCACATGCGACTACCTGATAGTACCAGATGACTTATGTCATGTGAGTGCTCCCTGCTGTTTTAACCTTGGTTTTTTTTGTTTTTTTACTACAAAACTATTACAGTATGAGAAGCCTCTTTCCTTAGCAATGCACACTAAGGCCCCATGTACACGGGACACTTCTGAACGATGGAAACTGACTGCTGGAAAACGTTGGTTAAAAATCGTCTGTTTAGCTGTGTTTGCATACCGCGTTTATGCACGTTTATGAGCATTTACGTTTAGAAGAAGTTTTTAAAGATAACCCAGGAGACCTTACAAAATGCCCAGAATGCACTTAAAAACAGTAAAAAATTAACTATTTCAGACATTTTGAGAGAAATAGAGAGAGCAGAAGCAGAGAGAGCAGTATTTGTTGAGATTAGCGGTCTTTTTTTTTGTGGTGTTTGGATGTGTTCCAGCTCATTTCTGTGCAGAAATTATTGCAGCAGTGTCTAACATTTTCTTTCATGCAAAACATCAACGTATGGTGTACCAGGTCCATTTGAGTACCGGGAAAACACTTTGCATGCATTTTTCATGATGAAAAAAGGCTCTGGGCAGCATCTGGAAATGGAAGAGTTAAAACATTTTTTCAAATGCAAATGCCTATAAATGCGGTTAGCCGCATTTAGCCGAGTTTACACATGTTTACAAGTGCTTGGCGATTGAAACGCTGATAAAATCTACTGCTGAAAGCAAGCTTTCTGCGTTCAAACAAATGACTGTAAACTCAAGTGCCTGTAAACGACTGTAAATGAAGATGTGTACATGAACACATCGGAAAACATTAGGGTGAGTTCAGGGGCTGCTGAAAAAAAAACGCTGAACAGCTCCTAAACTTGAGTTTATCAGCTGTAGTGTACATGAGCCCTAACATGCTGGTACAAGAACCCACCACCATCAACCTCTTCCACTGCCAGCTGTCCACTGCTACTTCTTTACATCTTTACTACACAGACTTAATGGTTGATTGCATTGTTCACTTACAAACACTTAGACACAAGAGTTAACTTGGCTTCACTCCCACTTTTTAAAGTGGAAGGCAAGTCAAAACCTAACTACGCTTATATCTACTCCCACCCCCATTTTAACCCCTAACCCTGTAAAAAGGAAGATGCCTATACTTACCTATTCCGAAATCACTGTGGTCCACTTACATGATCGGATCCTAGCGCCAGCTTCAGTGTAGAGAAGGGATAGCTGACAATGGATGCCCCATAGTAAGCCTATGGGTGATGCCATCGCACAGGCTCTGCAGTGTTCTTTTCTATACACCATTGTTACACCTTGATCCCACATTTTAGATTACAGTAGATGTCACATAATGACCTGAACCCTGCATGTACCAGCCAAAACGTAAAGTCACAGCACACTTAACAAAGAAATACACATGTTCCCAAAACATAAAGTAGGCACCTGCCTACACATGTAGCACCCTTTCACCCCCTGGAGGCAAAAAGTAACTTCCAAATGACTTGTTAGACATTTAACCTCAGAGTTGGTACTTTGACCTTTTGGTAGGGGGTGAAATATTAAGCACCTGTCACTTTTGAAATGTAACAGAGTTTATTGAAACTCACCAACTGAGAGGGGCTGAGATTAGTGCACAGGATGTCCAAAAGAACAGTAAACAGACTCTGAAACCTCTGAAACATAGCAGAAGGACCTTTAGGCCATACAAGCACTACGTATACTTCTGGATGTAAAGCAGTAGCAGCACATTAACTGTGAAAAAGTAAAAGAGATCTCTCTGGTGCATTATTTTTGTATAATATCTTTAACGCCATTTTAAATTTTTGATATCACATTTGGAGAACGTATGATCTTTCTATATTACACCTGCTTCATTTATTTAGAAGCCAGCCCAGGGCAAAGTTAATTCAATTGAGGACCTTGCAGTGTAGGGAGCTCCAGGGCTCGCTGAGGGGACTACATCAGAACCTTTTTATAACTGAGTTGTTTGTACAGGCTGGCGTACACATGCATGTACATACCTGTGTGAATGAACTTTCTGAACGTGTTGGGAACAAAGAGAGCTGTACACAACAATTATTACTGTACAGTGCTCAGCATAAATGAGTACACCCCAACAGATTTGTCAGAAAACCTTTACTTTCTATGAGACACTATACTGCAAAATACTCCCACAAATTGCAAACAAGATTTGTTAATTTGCACACACAAAAAAGTATTTTTCCTAACAAATTTATTCAAGACCAAGTTGTAAAAAGGAATACACCCCAATGAAAGTCTTAGGGCAAATCTAAATTTTAGAGAACAAAATCCTAATTGACAAGAATTCAACTAAGGGTGAGTCTAATTATTCATTAAATGGGTGTCCAGGAGACAGTTGATTATAAAAGGGTGTTACTTAACAAAGAAAACCCCTTCCCATTTCATGCTGTCAGCAATGGCACCACATGGAAGAGAAATGTCACAAGGCCTGAGAAAGAGCATCATTTCTTTACACAAGAAAGGTAAAGGCTACAAGAACATCAGCAAAGCTTTACCTATTAGTCAGAATACTGTAGCAAAAGTGATACAAAAATGTAACAAAGATGGAACTGCAACCATCTTACAGAGATGTCCAGGATGTCCACAGCAGTTAACACCTTTACAGGAGCATCTTCTGATGAGAAGGGTTGAAGAAAATTGCCATGCAAGTTCACTTCAGTTAGCTAAAGAAACATAAAGCCAAACTGGGGTATTTGTTTCCCCTGGCACAATATGGCGTACACTGCAGAGGAATGGCATGCATGGGTGTCGTTTGCGAAGGAATCCTCTCCTAAAGCCCATGCACAAAAAAGCCCACCAAGAATCTGCCAGGGCCCATGCTGAAAAAGAAGAAGGCTACTGGGATTCTGTACTCTGGAGTGATGAGACCAAGATATATGTTTTTGGAACTGATGGCTTCAAAACTGTATGGCGTTGCAAAGGTGAGCAGTACAAAGAAAAATGCATGATGCCTACAGTGAAACATGGTGGTGGCAGTGTCCTTCTGTGGGGCTGCATGAGTGCTGCTGGTGTCTGCATTTCATTGATGGTATCATGAATTCACCGATGTATTGCTCTATATTGAAAGAGAAGATGCTACCATCACTCCGTGCCCTTGGTTTTTGTGCACTTTTCCAACATGGCAATAATCCAAAACACACATCTAAGGCCACTGGTACATTTCTGAAGAAGAACTGGATGAAAGTGATTCAGTGGCCAAGTATGTCTCCTGATCTGAACCCAATCGAACACCTATGAGGAATTCTGAAGAGACAAGTTGAGCATCACTCTCCAATCAGCATCCAGGCTCTAAAAGAGGTCGTTCTTGAAGAATGGAAATAGATATATGTTGCAATATCATTCCATGCCTAGAAGACCTGGTGCTGTCCTTCCAAAACCTGGAGGTCATACAAAATACTAGATGTAGTAGTTTTTGTTGTGGGGTGTATTCATTTTTGCATCAACTAATTTGAGTAAAACTGAAGATTTTGTAATCTAAGTTATATTAGTAACCTTACTTTCATGTAATGAGCTAAAAAAATGTTCTATAAAACTCAGTTTTGTCAAAATTTTGGAAATTGTTCTTGTATTCATTGAGATATTGATTAAAATCTTACTTTTCAAAAGCACAGTATATTTGTATTGTCAGCCTTTGGAGATTTTTAACTTTTAAATACGTTAACAATTTTAAAATTTTCTCCTTACCCTTGAAATTTACCCTTTTGTTTTTATACATGTGTGGACATATTGAATGCCTAAAATATCCCATCCAGATATGTTTTTGGTTCTCTTTTATGCTTTGTTATTACGTGTGCTGGCTATTGTTTGTTTTTTTTTCATTTGAATATCTTTTATTAAGGTGTGCAGCACATACAATATTTAAAGTGTCACTAAAACCACATCATAAAAAACTATAAATAAGTGCTGTATTACATGCCGTTTATACTCACTGTATTCTGCAGAAAACCTGGTTGATCCTGCTGTTCCCTATCTCCCTCTTCGGTTCATGTCCCCAATACAGTTGCCAGCTCTGCACGTGCTCAGTTTTCAGTGAGTTTCTATGCTGAGCATTTCCTCCCTATCACATCTGAGCAGTTCATGTGACAATAGAGTCACACATGTGGGTGTAAACACAGTGGTAAATGACAGCTCATTCCCTCCATCCTCCTCCATGCACACTAACCAGCTAAGCACAATGGGGGTGGGATATTACATGTAGAATGATGGAGGCTTCACCTCCTTGTTATTCTAAGACAGAAGCTGGAGGGGTGTGACACAGCCTGTGACTGGCAGAAATCCACCTACACCATGTTATTGCCAAAAAATAATAAAAGATTTGGTTTTCAAGATATATTTGTATGACAAACAGTTTATTGATATTTATTATTTATTTTGCTCTGTATTCCAAAGGCTATTTTTTTTTTTTTGAACATGTGACCAGCAGCAGAGGACTAGAAGCTCCTCCTGCTTATGTTTCCCTGCAGACAGGCTGGGAAAGAGCTGGCTCATGTGATAACTTTTTTAATTAAAATAATTACAGTGCCATCATCCACATACAGAAATAGAAGGGACAATGCAGATTAAACAGTGTGTGTTTAGTATCACTTTAAACTTTTTGTGTATGCTAAATGTTTACAGGGTGGTGCAGTCTTACTATATATATTAGTGAGCTAAATGTATTTATTTAGCCTTTGGATCTTTCCTAATGAGAT